AAAGAAAATACAATTAGTTTCGAAGAATATGATTAAACATCAATAGTCAATATCAATATGACATAAGTTACGTATTTTCCTTCAGGGATAAACACTAATTTAAAATAGTATGTTCTTCGAAACATGTGCTACTTCGAGAGCACGTTGTATTTTAATATTGCTTTTTCAAGAGTAATATGTCAATAGTCTTCTGGAATATTGAAAAATATAATTTATCCTCTTCAAGAGCAAGTAATATTCTTTTTGAATATTAATTATAATATTGTGCTACTTCAGGAACAACAACATGATAAATTATTAATTTAAAATTTATATAAGAACATCTAAAAATATTTAATCATATTAAAGACACAAAGAACATTTAATAATCACAATAAACGGGTATATTTTATCACCATAAAAAAATTAAAGCAAAGAATACATGAATTAAAACATGAGTTAATACATCTAACATGATAAAGCAAATAATATTTAATAATTCACATGCATGAATTAAATCAAAGAGTGAAGAGTATCTAATACGTGCATGAATTTACGTTGCAGGAATGTGAGAGAAGCTATCATTAAAAAAAAAAAAATTGGCAGAATTGAAGTTGAAGAAAATTACAGTACGTCAAGAGTTTACTCTGCCAGAATTGAAGTTGGAGTAAATTCTTATAGACTAATTATGGCAGAAAATTGGCAGACTTGGCAATGACAGACTTGGCAGACTTGGCAATGACAGAAAATTGGCAATAACACCCATGTACATGTTCCAACCATAAAATGCATACTAATTTCAGCAGAAATCCCTACCAATTTATAATGCACGTATATATAAAATAATTAAGAATAAGAGAAATCAATAGACTTGTGTGTATTATAATGAGAACCAAAGCCCTATATTTATAGGGAATGAATAGGGATACATATGGTAATAATATCTAGGGCTGTAGGGATACAAGTGTCATTCATATTAAACCTTAATTTACTTTCCTTTTACAAAACTTCCCCTTGAATGACACATTACAAAATGTCTATCTCGTTAAAACCTTGTTTGATAATAATCCAATGGGAAAAAAAATCAAAACGAAGGGAAAAGAGTACACTTATTTTGGAATATTAAATATAAATGTTGTCTGATTAAAACCTTGCTAGGAAAATCCAGTGGGATAAAACTTAAGAGAAGGAAAAAGAGTACAGCTACTCCCCTGATGTTGATCAGTGAAAATATTTGATTCGACGCATTCCAATCTTGCGAACCAATTTCTTGAATGTAGAAGTTGGCAGTGCTTGTGTAAATAAATCAGTCTCATTGTCACTTGAACGAATTTGTTGAACCTCGATGTCGTCATTCTTCTGAAGCTCGTGTGTATGAAGAATTTTGGAGAAATATA